CCCGTGGGGGCTGGGTACAGCTGGAAGCCCGGTTTTAGGGTGTGAGAATGTTTCACCTCATCACCGTCGTGTTGGTGTACAGGCACCCGGTGCAGCCCACAGCAGCACATCTCTGCCGGTGTTAATGTCACCCCACCAGGTGGTGACATTATCAGTTATTAATGTCACCCCGTGTGGGGTCACGAGGCACTGGGAGGGGGGCACCCACTAGGCCCCCAGTGTGCTCCGTGGGGTTTTCCTGCTGCACAGGAGGAGCCTGCATCAGAAGCCCCCAAAAGTCCCTGGGGTGCCTGACTGCTTGTTCCTTCTTCTGCCGAGGGAGAAATTCCTGCCACCCTGGGGACATGGTGGCAGGAGCCCGGAAGACTTGGGCAGCCGTTTTAGCCCCCACAGCTCCCCTTTAGACGATTTTGGACAATCTGGAGAGAAGTCATAATACTGCTACTACAGTAATAATAATGCTTTTAGGGACATTTGTATTTTTATCATATTCTCTCTTTTTTTAACATAAAATAAGAGATTTATGCTCCTGGGGAAGGGGCTGGAGCCGAGGGGTGGCAGGGCCAGGGGCACCCCAAAGCTGGGCACCGTGGCGGGCTGTGTTGGGGCTCCCTATGGGCAGGGGCAGTCCAGATGCTGGGGGGGTTGTGCCAAGCTGGGTGCCCACCCATCGCCCCTCGGGCACCCTGCTCCAGGAAGGATTTCGTGTCTGCAGTCAGCTCCCTGGGGGCTTATGTGTTCATTTTTAACTCTAGAGCTCTTAGCCGTTCTCTTGTTCAGGTATCTCTCTTCTTCATGTGACGGTAACATCCAACTGGTGTGTAAAATACAGAAAAACAGGGGAAAAAAAAAGACAAAAAAAAAAGAAATTAAAGACAAAAAAAAAAGAAATTAAAGACAAAAGCCCAAACCAACGAGGGGTTGCCCGTCCGGCGATGCCATCCCGCTGCCGGTGGCTTTGCTGCGTGTCGGTGGCCATGGCCGGCTGCCCCCTTTTCCAATAACAGGGGAAGCTGGGGGGGTGAGGGCTTGGGGCACATGGGTTGGGGCGCCTTCTTTGCAGAATCCTATTTTTGGGGAGTGGGGTCCCTCGTTTTCTGGAGGCAGCCCCTGTTCTCAGTAATAAAGGACAGTCAGTAACTGCCAGCGTGCCTCGTCTCTGGGCTCGGGAGTTAGGGAGGGTGGCTCCTGCAGGCCCCTGGTGGCTGTGCCCGCTGGGCAGAGTGGGGATGGTGGGAGGGTCGCAGTGTCACCTGTCACACTCTGAAGGGTCCCTGCAAAGGGAGGGGACAAGGCCAGGAGCAGAGCGGAGCCCTGCCCAGGGTTGGGGTCCCAATGCGGGCTTTGGGGTCCCACAGCCCTGGAGGGCAATGGTGACAGCCCTAACAGTAGAGTAGGTGCCCGTTCCAGGTGGGCAGCAGTGCATCAGCGGGGTTTGGGTTGAGTCCCTGGGGGGTGATGTGGGTAGGGACCAGAATACAGCTCTGGGGTGCGGCGACAGAGGCAGGGGACAGATTTCTGTTGGTGAGGCAGGGGCACATGGCTGCTGGGGAACCCGGGTGCTGGCTGCCATCTCAATGGCTCAAGTGGCTGCATTAAATAATTCACCAAACACCAGTCTTGAATAAATAAAAGAAACTCCAAACGCGAGGATGGGAGGAGAGTTGTGTCCTCCATGCCCAGGAGAGCATCCCTCCAGATATGCTGGGAAGAGGTGTTGGCAGAGGACAGGAGGCGACAAGGTGGTCCCCTGGCCAGCTCCTGCATCCCAGTGGAGGTCAGGTGGCTGCTGCTTACACCCGTCCAGGCTCTGTTTTGTGTCCTGCTGAGCCAAACCTGGAAATTTTGGCAGTAACAAGCCACTGACAGCATCAGTGCCACCAAGCCTGGCTGCTGTCTGTCCTGTCACACCAGAGCCAGGTTTCTTTTCTCACACTACATCTTTGAACGCAGCGAAAAGGAAAATACACTCAGCCCCATGCAGCAACCCCAGTGCTCCTGTGGCACAGAGCCGGTCCGAGCCGCGGCGGTACCCCAAGCCCATTCCTTTGTGTCCACAGCCAGCAGGAGCAGATGGAAATAGCAGCGGGATCCCAGCTGCGGCGAGGCCACAAACCGTCGTACGCAGGGACGGGAGAGTAGGCAGGGATATATATAGAGACAGACGTATGGATGATGCACTGCGCACACACCTCCCCGGGTGCTGAGGCTCAGCGATGCCCAAAATACTTGTGCGTAGCAGAAACGTGTGAGGCTTCCACTGACTGCGGCAGCTCCTGGCCCTTGTGTCACTGGGACGGTTGCTACCAGTGCCGTGCGAGCGTGGTGCCCCACCCCAGCCAGGGACTGAAACATGGGGCTGTGAAAGGCTGGGGCAGTGGGGAAAGGCTGCAGGGAGTTAAGGAGCTCTCTCTCTGGGTGTCAGAGCTATGTCCCTGCTATGGGGACAGGCTGGTGGCACTCAGGGCCACCTGCGCCCCTCACCCTGCTGAGCGGTGGCAGAAACCAAGTTGTTCCAGGAGGAACTGTGTATCTCAGTCATAGCTCAGAGTCCTGCGGGTCTCTGCCAGGGCCAGCACCCTGTAGGAGGTGGATAATTACCTGCTAATTAGCAGCAGAGTCTCCTCAGGCAAAGCAGCAGCACCCCAGATCGATGGCAATGACCCCTGTGCACCCCTGGGGACTGGGAGCCACCCACTGCTGGGTGCTGAGGTGCCCCATGCCAGGATGCTCTGCCCAACACAATGGTGAAGGGTGGCAAGAGGGACGGACAGACCTGAACCCAAGGGAGGAGAGTGAGTTGAGCCTCAAACCCGCCATCCACAAACAGGAATGGAAATGGATCATCGTTACCACTGGAAAGACAAGGGATTCATCAGATAAGGATGCTCTGCCACATCTAAAATAGCCGCGGTTCCTGCTGCAGAGTGGGGAAGGGGGGAGAAGCTGGGCAACATCCACCCCTCCAGCATGGGAGAGGATGTGGCAGGAGCACTGGCTGCCTCCCAGCCACCAAACCCAAATCCCTGGCAATTAAAAGCGGATGCGCGGTCTGAAACCTCCAGCAAGCCCCAGCTCTTGAAGGGAGCATTTGGTGCCGGTGCGGCTGAGCTCCCCTGCCACAGCGGGATGGTTCTGCGGAGAGCGAGAGCACGGCTTGGAGACAGGCGGGGGGAAATGGGACTCCCTCCAATGTCAAAAATAAGAGAAGCCGGTAGTCTTGCACCAGGATGTGTTGCAGGGTTTTCAGAGGTTCTCAAACAGTCCCTTCCCACAGCCCCCCAGCAGAACTGACCCCATCACCTTTCTCTCACACCGGCTTTGCTTGGATTTGTGCTTTTTATTGCTTGAGTTTGATACAAACAGAGCTCGGAGAGGGGAAGAGGAAGACCATGGCGGCAGCCCTGGCTTCGGTGCCTGTTTTGGGGCAGACAGAGCCAGAGCTGGGGCTCCTTTTCCCATATAGAGGAAAAATCCTTTCCAGACTTCAGATGGGCAGCACTTGTGGGGTTTCCATGGGCTCCTTCCCAAACCTGATGGCCAGGAGGAGCCTGGCAGAGATGTCTCTCCCCCAGCCCAATTTCAGGACTGGGGTTAGATCTCAGGGTTGAGAAGGGGTCTGTGCCATTGCTCTCAGACCTTGCCACTCATCGGGTGACAGGGTCTGTGTGGAATGAATGTAGATAGCTTTTTCTTGTTCTGTCCCAGAGCCAGGAGCAAAGGATGTGCATGGAAGTGTCAAGGCAGCTGCAGCATGTGGTAGGAAGGTGCTTATGTTCGTGGGCAGGCATGGTGGGGATGCTTGGCTCTCAGCCGCACCGTGCTGCCCACTGGGGCCTGTCCTGCAGGCAAGTGGGGTCTGTGGGGTCATCTGTCATGGCAGAGAGCTGTTTCCCCCATCCAAGGCACCCTGTGGTTCCATGGGATGATCTAAGGTGGGCTTGTGGATCCCTATGCTGACTCATGAGCCCTGCAGATCCAGGTGGGATCCCAGTCCTGACTGGGAGATACTGGTCCTCGGACCATCTGTTTTCCTTTGTGTGGAGGTCATGAGTCTCTTTCTTCCCCAGCCCTAGCTGGGAGACAGTGGAGGCTCCCTGTCCCTCTGCGGTACGTCCCTGGGAGTATCTGGCTGCAGCATGGTGGCTCATGTTTCCTCCGGGGAGCCCGGTAGAGCTACAAAGCTGCCTTCTCCATTTTCCAGCAGTGGTGAGCTATCCCCGGGGGCTGCCGGTGGGGCCTCGGTGCTTTCCCCTTCCTCCTCCTCGTCCTCCTCCTGGTGCTGGAGGCTCTGCAGGCGTTCCTGCCGTGCCTCCATAAACTCCTGTGCCCCGTCACCCACCAGCCGAACGGCATCGCCGATGGAGGGTGGCTGCCGGACGGGGTTATGGTCGTAGGAGAGGAGGCGCAGGGCAGAAAGGCAGACCAGGTCGGGAAAGCGAGCGATGCGGTTGCGGTCCAGGTCGAGGACACGGAGATGAACCATACGCAACAGGACGGGGGGAAACTCCTCAAAACGATTCCCGTAGAGCCAGAGCCCTCGCAGGCCGGCCATGCTGGGCAGCCCAGCAGGCAGGCGAGTCAGACGGTTGTCACCCAGCTGGAGGCTGTGGAGGTCGGGCAGGCGCAGGAGGGCCCGGGGGAAGTGGGAGAGGAAGTTACCCTCCAGCCAGAGGCAGCGCAGGCTCTGGAGGCAGGAGAAGGCGGGCGGCAGCCCTTGCAGCCCGTTGCGGCCCAGGTAGAGGTAAGCCAGACGGGGAAGGTGGCACAGGGCCTCGGGCACCTCCATCAGCTCATTC